TATGAATGCAAAACCACAAATATCTGACAAGGAACAAACGCAGAAAATTCTCTTTGACAGACATCAAACGCTGACACACATAATCCGCAGAGATAACATGCAATACTGGAGGAAAGAAGACCAACTTTCAGGGTCAAGACTGAGCTTGCTGATCTCTTTTAAAATCGTCATCGCACTTGGCCCGGGTAGAGCGTTCATCAGTTTGATAAAACGCCATTTCTTCTTCACATATTCAACAGAATGCTTCCAATAGATTACAGTATACAAGAGAGCTATCACAGCTAACAATATAATACTTAACATTGTTTTTTGTTGCTTTTTTTCGGTCTTCGCACACCTATTCGATCCTCAAACGAAACAATTGAAAAGTTTTAAGTTTATATTTGTATCACAAATGTATTCGAGTTGATACCGCGATATATGAACGTAATTGATACATTACGAGAATTTTACTAGGCAACATCAGTTTCAATAGATCGACGACTATCAATGGCTCATGGAATGTTGAATGAATACCACAAATGAATACCAAAAGTACAAATATGTGAGTACACGGGAAGAACATACAAAAATCAATTTTATTGAAAAACTGGATGGACACTGATTAAATATGAGTTCATGAAGCATTGAAGACGAACGAATTAGGCAACACCAATTCCATCAAACGATTCGTATGAAATTTTTTGAAAAGAAATGTTATGGAAAATATGTGGAAAAAAAACTTCAAACGAGTTTTAGAATAAATTTATTAATGAAATGCAATCATCAATTATACGTATGGGATTGGAGCATTGGTTTCGTTCACACAATCGATGTTTTTTTTAATTAAACTCCTCTATTGGTTTAATTTGGCGAGACCAGGAAGTGAAAATTTCATGATTTGTTGTGTGGAGTATCATTGATTGTGAATGACAAGTGATCCTCGATAACAGTACGAATATCACTTTGTGGCATTTTATTGCGTGTTGAACGCAGTGATTCTGCATGATGATTTTTTTTGCTTAATTTATCGATAATTAGAACCTGTCTAGAGCATAAGTAAACGTCTGTCAAGAAATCAAGAAATCAAGTTTTATGATGAATCGATTCGTAGGTTGTGTAAAACGGTTCATGAAGGATCAAAAGTATAAATCATATCGTATTACCTTGATATGCCAACTACTTCTCACCGAATCACTTGTGCACAATTCTGGTTCTATTATTCAGCCATTCAAATGATTGATTAATCGTCCAAGGATTACAACAAACCGCGATGAAAGTCAAATTTTTTTTAACGATGAATTTTATGATGTAAAATCGAGTTTTATGATTATCATTTCTAAATTTATTGGTACGGTTCAACTCATAATTATTTACTCTTTATTTCAACAAAAGTGCACAAAAAAGTTAACCTAAACACATATACCATTTTTGAAGACTATTCTAACAATGTTAATTACAATACAACAATAATGATAACAACAATCAAGAACAGTGGATAAAACGCAATGAAACTGAAGCTTACGGTTGTGGATAAAACTAGAAAAGAGGTTCAAAAATGATCTCCTTTCCGCATCAAAAGATGTTCCTCGAGCAATTCTCTTTTCTTTTTTTTTGGGATTCAAAATGAATTTTCCGAAGTACTTCATGAGAGCTCAACTCAGAGCAATGGGAATGAATGCGGGTGATCTAACGGAAAGACTCGAGCTGAAGAAACGTCTCAATTGTAAACCGTTTTCACGGCTTCTTCAGGAAATATGGCCCTGAACAGGACGACGAGCCTGAAAAGAAACAAGCGATTGGTTCTGATCAAACTGAACGCACGGATACTCCAAAACAATAACGTTCCAACACATTTTTGTGATACTCTTCAAATTTCTCATGGATTATTTGAACGTTTGCAAGAAATGACTGTAATTATAAACTTTCCGTTCTCTTGCTGATCATGCAAATCACAAATCTCTGTGCTTGTCAAAAATCACTCGTCCAGTAAAAATAACCGACCCACAATTATCAGTGCTTGCCAACCGAAATACTGCCAGCTCACAACGTAGTTACTGCCTCCGAATAAGAATTCTCAGTCAGATAAACACGGAGTATCTCAACGGAAAGTGTCGTGTCTTACTCTATCCCACACTCATCAATCATTCTCATCCCAGACTTCAGAAAGCTTGGATTTCTCCACTCTAATAGGACCAGTTCCCGATGTCACATTATGAACTATAGGAAATTCCATTTCAACAAGAATTGCGTTGAAACAACTACTGGGTTGATATCTTTACTGAATTGGAATTTGTTTAACTGAGACTTCACTGAATTTATATAATATATATTGTTGCTCCAGCAAACTCAACATCAACATTATATTGTTACACAACATTTATTTGACGAAATTATCACCGATTCATTCAGCGAACATATGCAAAAAAATCATATAAATTAATTAATAAACATTAAATAAACGAAAAAACAACAACACATTTGTCGTCGTCAACTTGTACTGTAAAGCAGAAATCAAGCCCTGCTTAAGAAGCGAAAATTATTTGAATCAAGAAAAAATACACGTAGTAAAACTTTTGCATTCTTTTGAACACTCCATTCAAAATGTTTGGCAATCAATTAACAATTGGAAATATTGTACATGAATGAATGAAATCACCGAACAACAAGCACATAGAGCAGCTAGCAATAAGCAAATTCATAGAATCTCCTAAATCAAGTACTAAAATTTCAATTTTTCATATCAGTTTGCACTCTCGCGAACAGCTGCCTCATCCCTTTCAGGATGTCGATTCACCAAAAACTTTCGGCAGATTCTTCGTATAGATTTGAACATCATCGTCGAGAAATACACAGAACACAATACGATCCATCTGAAATTGATTGTACAGTTCCAGTAAGGGGCTTAATCGATAGGAAAACAAGAAGACCGCAAAATCATCACCAAAATTCATGCAAAACATTTGTAAAGATCACTTTTGCGTGAACGAAAATGCTCAAAATATTCAATTTACAAATTATTTGCATCATACATTTGCATCATTTAATCTTTACATAATTCGGTTCAAAAATTGATGTAATATGAAAACCTTATCAATATTTGAGTCCTCCAGCAACCACGATTTGATAAGATTTAGCACCGTTGGGCAAGCACGCTCGTTGGGATAGCCATAGATACCAGTTGATATGCATGGAAATGCCTGAATATTCACCCGAATTATGTTCGATATTTAACATTATTACATCTTTTGCTAGCAATTATTACGTGTGAATGTAACTGAATAATTTCTTCTGAACTGCCAATGAATTTACTCTTATGTCTGACTGACACTGAACCTTTAGTGACTCAAATAAAGTTAGTTGTGTTCGTAAATTGCGAAAATAAAAGTTGTGAAGAGAAGAATAAAACAAGATGAAACATACAATAGATCGTAAATTATTTTCAACAGCCAATGCTAACGACTGTAAATAGCATGATTTGAGTTGATCCTCATGTGTTGTATTCAATAAGCCATGTACTTGAGGTCCAACCGTATGGATGATTTCTTAAAAATTGCAATCATTAACTGAAGATCCAATACAAACTCGAATGCAATTTCACTTACTTTGTGACTTTGTTATAACTGATATCATTGTACTGAACTTCTTACACATATTTTCATGCGAATGAATAAATAAAATAGAATTAAATTTAAAAAAACAAACTTTTGATGTGTTTGATATTGTGCGCAGCCGTTATCTTTGCTTCACCAGTTTTGCATCCGTTCAACGTTTTACATTCCTCGTAGAGACCTCGTCCTGCGGCCCGGTGGATGGCCCCGTCAACACCTCCACCTTCAATGAATAACGATACCAGTAACAATATTATTATCATTATAACAATTATAATGATAACAATATTAATGATATAAATGATTATAATGATAACATTAGTAATAATAACAATAATAAAACCAGCGATAATGATAAAAATTTGTTAGAAACCTCCAAGAAGTGAATGGTTCGCAGCATTGACGATCGCATCCACCTGAAGACGAGTTATGTCACCTTGCCAAACGCAGACTTTTGTCGATGTTTTCTCCGGATTCTTCAGATTCGCCTTTTCGGCAAACGTTGGGATTTGATCGAGACGTGTGAATGCCTCGTTTGATCGACTTGCCATTGAGTAGTGCTGCAGCTGATGCTGTTGTATTTGAGAACACACAACACTGAAACCAAACAAAATACCATTGCTAAACTGAAATATCAAACAAAATTGAAACTGAATCAACGAAGACAACCAAATAAACAAATAGCCCAGTTCATACTGATGCTGATGCCATTTCCTATATTACAGAAATAAACTGCATCGCTGATGCAAGCAAACAGAATTCGTGAACTGCAAACGTAACAAACGAACATATCGTTTCGCATAAATTTTGCAAACTTTAAGAAACAATCCTTAAAGAAAGCAAACAGGCAAATGAATTTATACAAATTTCGAGCGAAACACGGTTTTTATAAATGCACAAAGGATGAGTTGAAAAGTTTAACGCTGTATGCTATAGCAAACTTTAAAAGCAACTAGGATAGAGCCAAATCATAAATGACATTTAAGCATGAACAATTCAGTAATATCAATCATTTGATATCAAAGACTTGTCAGTTTTTCTTCTCTAAGAAATCACTCAAACAAGAACACTCGAAACGGAACGAAGACAACCATCATAAATGAAGGAATAATCACTTTTATCAGAAACGAACAATCTAGCATCTCACTTACCAATTCAAATTACTCCAGCAAAATTTCAACAGGTGACGATTTTTGAGCAAAAGCGAACACGAAGACATTTCGATTGTATGGCACTTAAACAATAAGCAGCGATAAGACCTGTGATATGATATTAGCCAGATAGTAAGGATGTTCACGATGTATGTACACTCACCAATTCAATTTAATTCAGTTCAATTCAAATCATTTCATTCACTTCTTCTTAAAAGTGTTTCACATAATTTGCAAAGTGAAAACGTAT